AATTCGAAATTCGAAAAGGAGTTTCTCAGTATTGACTTTATTACTGAAAAAAGCACGCACGTTGCCCCACAAAACAAAACTGTTGGAGCGAGCTGAGCCTAGAACAACAACAAGTTAACGTCTCTTCAAAAGGCAATTCAAATTTTAAAACCCATTCCACAAACCTTTTTTTTTTTTGGCTCATGTGAGTTCTGTAATTCTGTTCGTTTTTTATGGGCGGTAATTTTTCAAATTTAGTTCACCCAACCTTCCTAAATAAAATCACCCTATATCTAGGTATATATCAATCAACCCATTAGGTTTAGGAAAAAAAATTAAAATAAGAATAAAATATATAGGAAAAGAGTTTAAATAAAATTTTCATCTAAAAAATGACCCGACATGTTTTTGATTTGAGAGTCGGTCTAAATATACTGAGTTTTTCATAAAAGTTTTGTTCATTGAACCTAACGTTGACATGACTCGATACAACCGGCTAAAAATGGGTCAAATCTGACCAAACTTGAATTTGACCTGACCAACCCCCTAATGTAAGAATATTTTAAAATCATATATTTTAATATAAAATATAATATTATAAAAATAAGTTTATAACTATACTTCTTTTTTTACTACTCGTTTTAAATGTATAATTTTATATTTTCATGCAAAATTTTAAAGGTATCGCATAACTTTCTTGCTTTATAAAAAAATTCTGCATATTTGGTTTTTGTATTCGTAATATTGACATTCAGTCATAAAATTACTTAAAATTTAAAAAAAACATATACTAGTAGTTCTCGATCCGAACTCAATGACATCGGGTCATAAACATATACTATTAGTTCTCAACCTGAATCCAAACATACAAACACCAACCGAACTAACCGATTGATTTGTCAATTCAAAGATCCACAACACCACTAATACAAACATGTAATATCAAAAACACACTTCAATGGTAGTATATAGTGCAATATTGTCACAACATAATATAATCATATTTTGTAGATAAAAAACATGTCACTCCTATTTTTAAAACAAATGAATATGTTTTACTCATATTTTAGTGATTTCTTAAAAATTTTGACCCCCTCCCAACCTAGATATTTCGTATTTTGCAGTATAAGACTATGAGATAGACTTAAACCTGCCTATCCGACTAGAATCCAGATTCATTAAATTTTGAATCTTTTAAAATATGTACAAAATTAGATGACACTATTCTTATTCTAGACCCAACTAGAGCCGACCCAATATAAATACATTACGATTTCAAAATTTTCAACAAGATTTTAGAAATAAATAATGTAGTTACACTTCAAACTTCAAAGTGATTGATTAGAAAGTTGAGGTTTATAATTAAGGTGTTGTTATATCCTCTCTCATTTTTATTCGATCCATTCTTTTTATATTAAATTGACACTTTTACCCTCAAAAGTAGAGTTTATTACACCATGACCCCCGGTGGGTTGGTAAATGTGTACTGTTAGTCTGTTACTTCATATGGATTCAAAATTCAAGCCGTTGCCCCTCATAGTTCTGATATTGTTAAGTCAATTTCTTTATGAACTAAAATATCATACAAATATTATGTCTGCCCCTTATGGTTTTGGAAATTGACACAAATGCTCTCTCTTTTCTTTATTATTTTTCTTTTTTTCTACTACTTTTTTCATAAATGTTTTTTTTATTTTTTTGAATTATTTTTTATATTGTTCGAATAATCATTTTTTTTGTATTTGCAATAAAAATGAAATAAATAACAACAATTAACGTACACTCCATTTGTCTAAAAATAAACATTTTCATTTTTATCCAAAAGAGGCCTTTATTGGTTTAAAAGAGGCCATTATTGGTTCAAATTAAAACATTCTCATTGTTCCGTTCATTAATTTTATACTATTTCTTTTATTTTAATCAAAATTAAAATAAAAGAAAAAAAGATATAAAAAGAAATAAAGAAAAAGAAAAGTATTTGAAAAAATACTTTTATTGAATAGGGAAAATTTAGTCATGAAAGAAATATTTCACGAATTGGTCCAAAAAATGTTATTAATATATGACTAATACTATATTAGAAAGACGTTACTCAGTATTCGTTTGGTCCTAACGTATTCAAAAACATAAAAAAAAATTTAAAATGAAAATATTTAATTTGACAAATGAAGTATATGTTAAATTTTTATTTCAAACACAAATATTTTTTTATTTTTTAAATTTTTTTTCAAAATGTAGGCCTGAAAAAACAATTTTTCATTATTTCACACAAACATTTTTCTTATTGTGAAAAAACAAAAGAAAAAAAACCCAGAGAAGCGTTGGTTCCCATTTCGAAAACAATAGGGGGTAGCGGCTTTATTTACATAATATTTGAAGAATATTTTTATCTGATGGCGTTGATGCACCTACCCCTTTACAACGGAGTTTTGATTATGCATGTGTGTATATAATTTAAGTTGGGGTAAGGATAACTGGACTATGCTATAAGACACTATGGCTGAACTAAATTAAAAGATCGAATCCAAACGAATAGTTAGTTCAATTCAAGAGGTTATATACGAATTATTTAACTTTTAGACTTCTAATGTGGGATACACTCTAGCGCTGACTACGTCACAAAATTTATGTTAGTTTGCTAATTTTTTTATCATCATTTGCTCGTGATCCACCAAACAAGACACAATACCCTTGGTCCTTTTCTTTGACGTTAGTCGTCTTTGATAGGCGATATTTGGTTCGTGACCATGGCATCGCCAACATGAGCCTGTGTTCGGTTGTTGACAAGATGCTAGTTGGTATTGAGTTTAGGGCTTTTTATTTCCTTTCACTTTTCCCAAGGGAAAGTCACCTATCTTCGTACTTCCGGAGACAGGAAAGGTGGCATCCAACCTGCTGACTTTCTATGTTTACCGCGAAGTGAATGATGGGAGAGAGGCGAATAAAGCAGCTATCAAAGCTATGCTTGTCAATCGAGTATGTCAGTCAATGTTGTCTCTACTGATTCCAAGGTGAAGGAACCCAGATCAGCTCAGAAGGATAATTTTCCCCTCTGGTACATATAAAATTAACCAGCATGTTCAATCGAAAGAATTTTTTTTTTTATCGAAAGAAATTTTTACAAACATTACTTTGTTTTATTTTTTTACTCTATAATGATTTATATGTCAATTGTAAATTACTTCATCCATTATTTTTTTCTTTCAATTACTATTACAACATCTTGGTGACTAATGTTGGTTTGCAAGTTTTCATTAATCATTTAATTAGATAAACTACTCTTGTCATGTCTTATTTTATATAACTTTTTATAGCTTTGAATAATATAATTTGTAATATTTATTGATATATGAATTTGTAAATTAAATAATTTTAAAAGATATTTCGTACAATGTTACACTTTGTTCATATGGGAAAAAATAAATGAAAGGATGGTGCACATACTTTTCTTAAAACTAAAAATAAAAAAAATTGTTACTTTTTTACAAATAAATTAGTATCTTTGTTTAATATAATAACAAATATGTAGATAAAAAAATTTATGACACCTAGGACCCAATATTTAGAAAAGGAGAAATGTGAGGAATATTTAAAATGATGTAAATAGAAGAGAGAAGAAAGAAACTAGGGGATATGAACAAAGATGCACTTAAATATAGAATTAAATTTTAAATTCCATTAAAGGTCCCTAATTATAGCTCATTTTATATATTTAGTTCTTACATATCAAATATTACTAATTTAGTCCACAATTATTATATATTTTTCCCCACGAATAGTCCTTGGTTAACATTTCCATTAAGAACATGGATAAAATTGTAAATTCACACTTCTTTCTCTTCTCAATTAAGCTTTCTCCCTCTCATTGTACACCTTTCTCAATCCCATCGCTGAGTTTAAAGCTTTGAACCCAAAACCGAAATCATCACTCTTCTCTCAATTGTTTGTCTAACTCGTGGAACCCAAATTTAAAACCAGTAACCTTCATGAATGAGTTTTAATGTTTATTTTCTTTGCAAATTCTTGAGACTAACCGATAAAACTCATCCCTAAAGTTTATTGGTTTTGATTTTATGTTCCACTAGAAAGACTAATAATTGAGAGAGGAATGATCATTTCAGGTTTGGGTTTAAAGCTTCACTCAGCGACGAGTTTGGAAAAGAGTACGAGAGGAAGGAGGAAGCTTAATTGAGGAGAAAGAAGTATGAATATACAATTTTATCTATGTTCTTAACAAAACGTTAACAAAGGAACATTCGTAAAAATGATATAATAATTGAGGACTAAATTAGTAATACTCCGTATTTGATATGTAGGAACTAAATATGTAAAACGACTTATAATTGGGGACCTTTTATGGAATTTTGTTTCATAATTTAGATGTGTGCAAAGTAATTGATTTTGTAGAGTTACTTGTGCTGTGTTCCTTCGCATGATCTGATCTGATTTCTTGAAGATTTGATCTGATCTGGTCTGATATAATCTGACCTGGTCCAATTGTACTTATGAATTAAAACCATTTCTGATGTGAATTGGTCTGATCTGATCTGGTTTAGTCTGATCTGATCTGGTGATACTAAAACTAAGTAAAATAAGCAGAAAGTGAGAAAAAATTAATGGACGGGGGAGTAAATTTCATACTCCCTCCGCCCAAAAATAATGTTTTAATTGCGCGTTATGATTTTTGACAAAATTTATTTTCAAATCATTTTATATGAATAATTCTCTGGAGTTAAAAAAATAAAAATTACATTTTTAAAAACTACTCCGGGGTATATAAAAAGACCTATTGGGTGCAAAATTAGATGTGACATGAATACATCATTTTATCAAATGAGCAACAAAAATATGTCAACAAAGTGAATAAAATTTAGCACTTACAAATATTAAACGAGAACATTATTTTTGGAGGGAGGTAGTAAATATGAAAAGTTAAATTAATTTGGATAATATAGGAACTCCTCCAAACGGGTCCTTAATTTGATTTGTTTCTTTTACCACCAGTTCTATTCTGGGCACAGAAACTCTCTTTCCAGGGAAGATATCTACGGCCTGGGATTCCTTCTGGCACCGACGATTTGGATACTGTTTGAAGAGAAGCCGAGATGATCACCAGGTCGTCTTCTTCTCCCGGTAGAATCAATATCGCGTTAAGCGCTAAGAAGCTCGATGTCGATCACCGGTTTTCTCTCCGTGTTTATTTTCGTATTGCTGATAATATCCTCAAACAGGTTCTATACTTTTGTATTGCATATTATCTACCTCTCATCTCTTTCTCCATGATTAGGCTTGTTTTGGATCAATACTTAGAAGAATCATGCTTCCTCAAGTTTTGAATTTGAAATTTTTTTAGAAAAGCAAAATATTTCCCTTTTCATCCGAAAATAACTTGATTCTGATAAGTGTAAAGTTTATTTCCGGACGATAGTATTAAGTTTGGCACTCTAATTTATATAGCATCATTGAATAGAAATTGTTCAGTTCATACTCAGATGCTACTCATGCTATTATAATACTCCTTGTTAATTGTTTATGAGCAAGCATTAGAAAGTAATTGAGAATTTGGTAAACATTTCCCCTAGAGCTAAAATAAAGTGTCTTAGTTTCTAATCATTATATTTTTGCAAGTGTTTGTTAGCATTGGCAAATTCAGGGGAAAAATCTTATTGGGGGTTTAATACTTAGTACTCCTTAAAATACACAACTTTTCACATATTCAATCAGTCCAAACAGACATGAAACTGAAATTCCAATTGCCTACATATGTTGTTTTAATTTGATTAAACTTTTATGTTTTCAAGAATTTCAACAACTAAACAGAATTTTATCAACTCTGGTTATAATTTAGTAGCCAGCAATCAAACAAAAACAATTAATCAAACTTTTTGCCTTTTTACATTGTAGTGACAGAATGATGTTAACAAAGCTGAAGAAAAAATGACAAATTAAATAAAAAAAGTGGTAGATTTGTAGTGGATTAGTGAATCACTTGCTGAATACCAACTACAAATATGTAAATCTGTACAAAAGCAACTAGATTAATGATATACAACCAGATTAATGATATACATAGTATTAATAAATGTGAAGGTAAAAAAAATGAATGAAATAAAAAATAAAATACCATGAACTGGAGTTGGATCCGATTTTAGATGACAAAAAGGAGGTGCAGTCTAGCTTGAGATTCAAAGAGAAGTCGTTGCTGAATTACTGCATCAACACTTGGAATAAAGATGCTCTGTACTCTCGCACATCTATAGTCTCAGAAGACAATGGTTTTAAAAGGCTCACTAGGCATACACTTTTGAAGCTCAAATGCATTAAGAATGCCCATAAGACTTGATCCTTAGCCGAATTAAATGAGGCTTACTCCTTAAGTTGTCCGAAGCGTAGAGGCGTGAGGCTCAAAGGCACCGAAGCTTAGGCCTTGTTTTTTATAGACAAAAATTAGAGTTTTGCCCTCTTTAGGAGTGAGTTAGTCTTTAAAGCATGTGGGCACTCTTAGGCTATTTTTTAAGCTATTGGGCCTTGTTCAGTCAAGACACAAGCTTAGTCTTTTCCTCTCCTCTCTTCATTGTTCCATGACTTCCATCTTCCCTAAAACCTAAGCGACCCTCTTGCGACCACGGACAACCAACTTAGTCTGTCTTATATTCAGCTTGTTTCATTAACCCCCCCTTTTTTGTTTCTACATCACACCCTTATTGCTCTATCTCTCATCCTGTCTCTCTCTCTCTTTAATTTTCTATTTATTCTAAGTAGTTTATTAAGTGGCATTTCTGAAGAAAACGATTCTTGTGCTACAGAAAGAGATGCACATGAGGATGGAGTTACAAATTTAGATTGTAATGCAATTAATGTGCTATTAGTTTTGAAAATTAGACACTATAAATTTAGAATTTGAGCCTTAAGAGCATATTCTAAGTTGTTATTATGTTTTGGCGTGCATATTTTATGCTTTTATGCCTTGTTGAGTATTGATTTACCGTTTTGTTCCTTTTAAACCAATATTATGTGTGGTTTTATTTCAACATGTCATGTTTTTATGCTAGTGAATTATTGTTAATTAGTTATGAATTATCTTCTTGTTGATAAATGAGTTTTAACGGGAGTTGACATTCCCAAAAGGGTGAGTTTTCCCGGAGTGTTGTGTCTCTCGAGGAGTGAACAAAGGGAATTAGCTAATTTTCTAATTAGGCGAAGGTTAGAAAGAGTCGTGGAAGTCTTCTCGGTTCAATTTGTGTAGGAAACTTTACTATTGAGTGCTTTGCAGAGAATAAATTAAACAATACATGTATTAGACTAGACTTCGGGTCAAGGGATCATGTGGGATAGTGTTGTCACATATTTAATTAATATTTGGAATAATAATATTTCTGTCACAAATACTTCATTAACTTATCCTATTTTTCGGTACCATTAATGTGTTCTAAAAAGTTTGGCTTAATTAATTTTCTATCCTCATAGGCAAAGCAAAAACTAATTTCCAATAATTAATTATTTTATCTCTCGACATAATTAATTAATTTGACAATATAATTATTTCTAGAACAATTCTTCTAATTATTAATTAAATAATCAGAGTATATGCCCAGATTTTGCCCGTACCCTAATCTGGGTCCTAACCCGTAGTCCTATATTATTCTAATAGTACATGGAATAAAATAACATTTTATCAAAATTGTAAGTATTACAACTTACAACCAGGAGCGGAGTCAGTGCCACTTTGGGACATCCAGAATAAAAGATAAAATGTAAAATGAAGAAGAGAGCGATGGGCCTTAAAGACCCAGAGTGGTAGTTCTTGAAATGGCCGAAATGGGTCTGAATTTATTAGAGGGAAGACGACCTTTTCGTCCCCAGAATTGCAAAACCAGAGCTGCAAGTTGAATCTTCTTTCCCGATTTTTTCCTTCGCTCAATTCTCCACGTTTCTTTCCTACTCTTTATCAATTCATTAGTCTTTCCTTGACTAATCCAAAAGCTGCGTGATGAGGATGATAATCTCACCTGTTGATGCGCATGAGTTTTTTTTGTTTTATTCTTGCTTTTGAAATAATGATTATGATGATTCCAAATCAGTTATGGTTCTGCTCACTGCACCACTTTGCTGATCGATAAAATTTGTTGTGCCATGGTACCGCCAACCAGGACGTGCCACGTGGCGGTGCCTGGTTGGTCAGATTCTCATCTTTCCTGAAATTTATTAGAAAAAATCGTATCTTGCTCAAATTTTGTGCGGAACAAGGCGACTTCAAATTCCGAACCAATTTGAGTCAAACAAATTGTTTTTGAATTGAATCAATTTTTTCTACTCCAACTTTTTCAGTTCAAACATTTTTTAGATCTTTTCCAATTTGTTTGACCTAAAATCTTTTGACGCGTTGCACTTTCACATTTTATTGTGCCTTTTCACTTCATGGATTTCCACAATCTTTTGCCCCCCACTTCACAACGAACCTTGCAATTGCTCACATTTTGACACTTTTGTACCGCTTTTGACCCAATTTTATTCGTTTCACCAGTGACATGACTTTTGTGCGCTTTTTACAATTTTGAACAAAAACATATAAAATAAATGAGAACTGAATTGGTTGATCTAGAATAGAAAGTTACACATTAAATATGGACAAATAACTACATACAAAATGGACTTATCACTTGTCCGATGGACAAACATGTATTGGTGATATATTTCACACTCTTGCTTCGCACTTGTGGTTATTGAAGAGGAGCTATTATGTCACAACAATAACATAGCTTGTACCTTGATGAGATGTGGCATGTATATTTTGTATGTATAACTTTCACTTATGTATTCCATGCTTGGCAACTTGGTGTGTTGGGACTTTTGCATGAGTTAGTGGCTTGAAGTGTGGGTTGAACTTCTTGCAAATTTTGGTGAGGTGTACGAAGCTGAAGTGTTCTAGCACTGGAGAAGTAATGGCTGTTTGTTGCTGTCTTAGCATGATAGTGGGCTTCATGGATAAAAAACCCTTATGAGGCTCGCATCAGTGCGAGGCACTCTAAAGTGTTATTTAGGCTCAAGCCTTGTTTGCATAGTAAGAGGCTTAGACGATCCAAAGAAAAAGCTTATGCTTTGAGGCTGGCCGAGGCATTTTGGGAGGGGGAATGTTGTTGGAATTATAGTATTAAGGTCTGTATATTAAAAATGAGTTAGATAAGAAACGACATATCACTCTAATATTCTCTGTATTCTGCTGCTCCACCAACTCCAAAACTTAACAATCAACATGACTATGTTATGCATTTTAGTTTTTAATATTTATCATTTTTTTTACTTTCTTTTTCAATTATTTATTATTTATTATTATTATTCTTTATTATTTTTTTCTCTTATATTTAAGTTATTTTATTTATTACTATGTATTATTATTTTTTTAAATTTATTTTCAATGACAAGACGTAGAGAAAATTGATGGAAGAAGAGGAAGTAGAGAAGAGGGAAAGAGAAACCTTCTGATTTCGAGGGGATAGGAGGGATTTGAAGCAAAAATTTTGGACTCTCTCCCTTTCATTTTTTTAAACCAAACAAGGGAGGGGCTCAATTTCCCTTCCCTCCATTCGCCTTCCTTCTAACTAAACAGACCCTTAGGGATTCCATAATATAATGCACTACTTTTTCATCTTCATTATATAGACATATTTTTCTGTTAAATTATTTTGGTAAAATTTTACACGATTTAAAATTTTACATGATTTGACTTTGGTCTTTCTTTGGATAGGCTGACATATTTCGAGAAGAGGGGAATATAATAGATTTATATGTTATGCTCCTGAGGTTCTCAAGGTGAAAATAGTGTCCTTATTCCCCTAATATTTCATTCTGTTGGTCAGTTCACAGTTATCCGGATATATTAGTCACTAGTGCTTTTGATGAGTAAGTTGCTTTCAGTTTGCATTTCCTAATGCACTCAAGAGCTTCATATGGTTTTCTGTTTCAGTTTGGTCTCTGAGACGATACCATGCCACCGAGATTACAGACTATCTCCACAATACAACAAAGTTTATCTAAGAAAGGTGGACATGCATTCATCTCACACTCTCACACATTTATCTGGGTTCCTCTGTCTGTGTGTCTTCTGACTACTCCAATACCTCTTTTGCAGAAATTGCTAAATGCAGTTGCTGAGCTTGAGGATCTGAAACCAGCTGTCCAGAAGAAAATTGAAGACCTGAACAGAAAAAGTATACATTTACCAAATAAATTGGGAAATTATAATAAGGGTAATCTTCTTGGATGTTCACAAGATCGTCATGTTGTCAAGAAACAGAATTTCTGTAGTTATGGAACCAAGGTATATGCCACGTGTTCATATAAATTCTGAGCTTTATTTTCCTGACTATTCTTCCTGAATCCTGATACTTAATGACCCTTCTGCCCCTTTTATAAGTTTCACTTTCATTTTTGCTTTGTCCAGCTAGTAAGTCCATTTTTTTTCTATACTCATTATCTAGTTTACCCTTTTATGATTTGTCATGTTGACATGATTGTGCACTATAAAAATTTAAAGATACTCATCATTTAGAGGGTTAAATAGAAAAGTTGACCATATTCATTTATTTGAGTGCTATTGACTCTATTACAATGTAGTAAGCGTTCATACTTTCTCAACCTAATGACGCACAGTGAGCCAATGGCTCCGCCTCCATCTCGGTTGGGAATCGAACCTAGGTGAGCTTCCCCATGAATCTTGGGGAGTGGACTTCCTACTACTCAAGCCAAGGGAGAAGCTCCTATTCTTTTCTTAATATTAGGGTACAAAACTTAGACCAACAAATTAGGATGGATGTATTAATTTGAGCTTTAGCCTTTAGCTTATTGTTTTAATTAATTTTAACCAACTCGAAACTACGAATACACACAGAAATAGAATGATAGAATGAAACAATTAAAGGATTCAAAGCTATTCGGTTTTGGTTCACATTATAACACACCTTAAAATCCTATTTGAAATCTAAACCGACCCTAAAGTAACCCAATTGAAATTCAACCGACTCAATTCTTGACCAACCCGATTTTTACTTGACCCAAAATTGACCTGAACCTTAACCAAAACATACCCAAGCTGACATTGACCCAATTCGCACCGACACCAACCCGGTTCAGCTTCACCCAAACTTGACCTGATCTGCACTAAATCCGAACAAAGACCCTAACACGAAGTACTTGACCCGAAGTCCGCTCAAACTATATAGAGCTAAAGTATGTCCAGACCATACTCAACCCAGCGTGAAATATGTTGACCTTAATGCCACACAACCTGAACAACACCGTACTCTAACCAAACAACCTGTTGCTAGGTCTCCCTAGCATGAACTGCACTTCATAACCAGAAGTCTGGAGGATGGCAGGAGGCTTAATAAAATCATTATCATTCAGCGCCACGTTAATCCCAACTTTCATTGGGGTTGTTGGAATAAAATTTACAGTCTCAATTAGTTAACATTATAGAATTATGAAAAATGAAACAGTGGAAAAGTTTTACGCTGGAGCTCTTGTTGCAACTTGCTCAAGAAGTTAAGAAGGAATAGTTAGATGAATTCTCAAAAGTTTCATCATCCTAGATTTCTTTCCACTTGCATGGAGTGTATTATGAGATTATGATGAGTTGAGATAGTTGATATAGTCATATCCCATAAAGGCCCAACTGTATGATTGACCTTTTTGTAACAACTAGCGAGAGTTCAGCAGTTATAACATATTTGGGTGGTCAATGTTGCTAACTCTGTCTAGTTATGCTTACATTTGCATATCACGACATTACACATGATTCTAAGAACTTTCAATTTTGCTTATTTAGAAAATATATTGTTATCCTAAGAGCTGTCATTAATGATGATCCGATTTGAGTCTCTGGTCTTTGCTTAGTATGTACTGAGTCACATTTCTTGAGATGGCATCTGTAATTGGGCTCCTGATTTAATATCTAAAGACATCCACAGCTATCCAGAACATACTCCCTCCATTTCACAAAGAGCCTCACGCTTTCCTTATTTGGATGTCCAAAAAACTTCACACTTCTCCGTTTTCCTTTAAAGGTAAAGAATATGTGGCCTACAAAGCTTCTCTCTTCAAAACAAGTCCCACCCACATGCCTTTCACTTTTCAACTCTTTTCTTTAACTCTCTAAAGTCAAATAATAAAGTTCTTTGTGGGATGGAGGGAGTATAATTATAATTTTGATACTCCAATCATATGCTTGTGATGATAAAGGTTTGTTTGAGAGTGATACTGCAAATAAAGAAACATTCTTACAAATGTTCTGCATTTATCAGGCACCGTCATTTACTACTCCAGAATATTTCCACCAGGGTCCGAGGCCTCAACAGCTGCTTGCCAAGCCAGTGGATGATCAGTTTCTCAGATTGTAAGTTTCTGTAAGAATACATGCTCTGATGGATTGCTAGACATGGACCATGTCTTCTCTATGTATTGTTAGGATTTTTTGAGACTCTAGTAATTGCATTTTGTCAATTTTAGTTCAAGGATGACTGTGTAATGAGACTTCGATGTTCAAGTTTTTTCGGTTTTGCTCTCTATTACTGTGTACCTTAATTACTGTAGGATACTTTAATCTGGGAGCCCTATGTTTTTCTTTAGTATGTGAATACATTATGCAGTATATTGTTGCTATTAAACACATGATATCAACAAAATCTCAGAGGAGACCTAACTCAGCAGCTAAAAAGAGCAAATTTTAGAAAAAGAATTTGCAAACTTGAAGTCCTAGCTAAAACTGAGCATGTAATTTCATGGATTGTTTGGAACTCTGGCAATATCCTCTTATTGCTTTTTGTTGACGTCATCTTTGGTAGATCAATAAGTATGACCCGTCCAAAGGAAGACACTCTGACCAGACATTCTATTCTGGGTCCTAACGGTCTTCATGGGCAACGGCAGCTGCCTCCTAGCAATGCAAGGGTATGAAGGATTTCCACTATACTCTTATTTATTTTAAAATTTAAATGATAATTCTCTAACTTTTCACTTTAAAATGTAGATCACATATCCTACAAATGTAGATGCCACTCCTGTTGAGATCCCAAGGTATGATATTCTACTGAATATTTTGACCTTTTTCTAAGCAATCAAATACTGCATGATACTTGTAACTGGATTGTACTTTAACCCCATGATGCAGATTTATTTTGTTGGACCATGCTTGACTTTTTAAAACTTTTTTTATTTGTTGTTTGTGTTTGTGGTTTTATTTAATTTGTTTGGTTACATCAAAAGTGGCAATGGCATCCAACAGTTCAAGGGGGATGTAGTTTTGATTGGGAAAGACACCAACATTTATTTGGGAAGCCAGAAGAAACCGGAAACTACAGTTCCAAATAACAATTACAACCCAATGCATTGTGTTGAGGAACCTCCTTCATTGATATCTTTTGAAACAGAAGAAAGTCCTATGGAGAAAGAAGTTACTCCACAACCATCTCCACCTCCAGTTCATCCAGAAACACAAGATTTAATTCCATCACCACAAGTTCCCCAACAACCATCTCCACTGCCAGTTCTTGCAGAGGTACATGATTTGCTCCCAAAAACACCATCTCATGCCCCTGAGGCAGAAGGAGGATTGGATAATTCTTTGCCTAATAATTTGGGCTGCGCTGAAGCTCCTCTACAATTGCACATTGTGAGTTTTCTCTTATTTTCTAGTCAGCTTAGTATTCATGTTAGTATTCATGCTTTTTGCTGGGTGGTTTCATTATCGTAAAGCAGCTCTTGAATTGGCTTGGTTATGGTAAAATAGATTTGAAACAGAATGAAAAAGATATATCTGTATGACCCTAATCAGAATGCATGAACTTTTCTCATGCATTATGGAGATGGTGAGATGGAGAGTTCAATCCTGGATCAGGATCAACGTTGGCGGCATGCTTAACACATGCTCTCTCATTCTTAGCTGTTGAATATATCATACAACTAGAAGTCCAGAATGGGCCTGACCTTATTTGAACCCTGCCTATCACAAATAGGATTCTTGGTATTACCAGATAGATTTTGAATCTTTTAATAAAAATATCAATCCTATAACATAAAATCGTCAATACCTATTTACATACACTTATCATGCTTAGAGGATTAAATATATTATCATTGCATTTATTTTTCTTAATTGTATAAAAAGTTTGTCTATGCATTAGGCATGTTGTAATCTTATTAAGATAGAATAAAATAGAATACAAAATCTTTTTTCTCAACGTGGCATCATACAACCTCTTTGGTTTTGAGTGTGAACAGTACTGTCATTATTCACAAATTTCAGTATTTGTTTAATAGGTCACTTCAGGAGAACCTAAGAAAACCAGTGCTGTAGATAACCTAAGCAAGTATTGACTTGCTTGTCCAAATTTCACCAATCATGCCATGCTTTTTTTCCTGGATGTCAATGTTTTGTTTTTCAATGTAATTAATAGTCGCGCAAAGTGGTGGAGGCGAAGGGTATGACATGCTCCATTGTGATGTTTATAATAAATAGGGGCATATCAAGGAGTGAGGCTCACAATTACATAAAATTTTGTTTATAGTCATTTGTAGCTCAATCTAATCCTTGTTTCTCTTGTTCAAATACTAACTCAGAAGCTGCACCTGCACATGGAGAGTACTTTCAACTGAAGGTTGCCAACCCCCCTTTAACAACTAGAGCCTCCTTTGTCAGTAACCTGTTGCATACTTGCATTCGTATCCCAGTCTAATATAGTTTGGGTCTTTGATACAGAAGAGCCACAAATTACATTTTATGCAATCTTGCTGTTTAAAATCATTTAACCTTTTCCAACTCACTTTTTTTAGCTTTTGGTTATGGATCAACCTATGGAAGGGTATAGCTACATGAATCAGGAATTATAGCTGCCATGCTCTCTCCATCTCTATCATTACCCTGTATATTGCATTGATCTAAAGAAACTTTCAGTTCTATTCTTGTTTGTCAAAATACTGTTAGGGGTCCAAAAATGCACGGTAGCAAATGCGAAAAATAAGGAGGGGGTGGGGACAAAGGAACGGGGGTTTTAGGGAATTAGGGGGTAGGAGCCACTTCAGGGCCAATGGAGCACCGTAAAGCCCTGGTGTCGTATGAGGACAATTGACAAGCAAAATGGGTGTCAAAAGAGCCCCACTGTTGATTAATTATTGAAAACTAATAATAATAACTAATTAAATATTAAATCCTAGGCCCATAAGACCATAACAGACTCTAGGCTCAAGAAACATTCTGCATACATTGTATGAATGGGAAATATGTTTCAGTACTTTACTGTGTGCATTGTTGACGCTTCACGTGTTTTGTTTATGGGGTCTTCCCACTAGTAAAATGCGTCAGTCGTAGTTCCTTGATATCTCTTGGATGTGAGTTGTGTGTGTGATAAATCTTTCATGGGATTTTTAATATTTACGAAGTATTAAACAAGCTAATTCTTTGTGTCTGCTTTAGTTCACACATGTTTATTGACTCACACTTGTTCTTTTTCTATTTCATGCATTCAAGATCTTGTTACTTTTACACTGTTTCCAGTTTCCATCCCAAAATAAACTTCTAAGTTTCCTGCTTCAGTTGTCACAAAAGAAACTCCCTGTTTCCAAAAAGGGTACTGATATATCTGGGCTCAGCCTCATCATGGTTCGCCCTATACCCTACACTCCCGGGGGAAGCCGAGGACCTATGTTTAAGCTATATGATCCATTTTGAAGGCCCTTAAACCCATGATCCTCCTCAATCCCTACAATCCAGAAACAACACCAAACCTTAACCATTCTCCCCCTTCTCCTTTTCATCTTGGCCGAACCCATCTTCCCCAAAACCCTACCTCATTCACCCCTCAAGACCATGTTAAAACACACCCAACAAAACCCCCTTCATAACCCTTAAGTTGGTCGAAAACAAGAAGCCAAAACAAACCCATTTACCCCTTAAAACATCCACCCAACAAGGCCCCCACTATGTCCCCTAAACCAGACACAAAACATCCATTACTTAACAAAACACACATGGCACAACTTTAACAATTTAACCACCA